CGCCGCCGTCGCCGACGCACCTGCCGCCGCAGACGGACGTGCTCCCGCAGCAGGTCCCAAGCGCTGCAGCCCTGAACGTGGCCCTTGGTGAAGACCTTGAGCGCCAGATCTTTGGGCCCTCAGGGCAGGCGGGGGGGGGTGGCGACCTCGGCGGGGAGGCGCGGGCGCTGCCGTCGCAGGTCTTTGCTGCCATCGCGCAGGGAACAGGCCAGCAGGCCTGAGGGATAATGCGCAGCCGGTGTCCAGGGCCTTGGCAGGCCGCGTGAGGCCGTGCCAAATTGTCTACTTGCTACTTTCTGTAGTGGGGCGGGCCCACAGCGGCGCCACCCCTCGCGTGGCGGCACCTGTAGCCTTTGCCTAAGCTAGGCGCGAGACTACCTGTGCGCTCAGCCACCTTTGCTCGCCAACTGGCTTGCCATCTCGGCCCCCTCACGCTCACTTGCGCTCGTTGGCCTCGCTGGCGGTGCTGGGGCAGCCCCGTGCACTGCAGCGTCGCCGTCAGGCGCCTGGCCATTTTGGCCTGCTATCCTGGCCTCGTCTCGCGCCTTCTTGCGCTTGTAGGGTTGGGGTGGCAGTGCTGGGGTCGCCCCGTGTGCTGCTATGCTGCCGCCTGCGCCTTGCTTTTTGCTGTAGGGACCAGCTGCCCTCGGCCAGGCGCCAGCCGCTGCGTGCACGTCAGACCCGCCCTTGCCTTGCCATCCAGGCCTTGCCTCGCGTCTTCTCGCGCTAGTCGGCCTGGGTGGCGGTGCTGGGGTCGCCCCGTGTGCTGCCGCGTCGCTGCTGGCGCTTCACCCTGGGCTGTTAGTCCAACTGCCCACGGTGCGAGCGCCTGACGTTGCAAGCATGTCAGACCCGCCCTTTCACCCAGAAGAGGTGCGCGCTACATACTGGCAATGGGGCAGCCACAAGGACGCTCTTCCCTAGGTGGTTGAGCCGTGGTGATGTGGTGCACGTGACCGCCAGTAGTAGTCGTAGTAGTAGTAGCAGTAGTAGTAGTAGTAGTCGTCGTCGTCGTCGTCGTCGTCGTCGTAGTAGTAGTAGTAGTAGTAGTAGTAGTTATCGTCGTAGTAGTAGTAGTGGTA